GAAAATAAAAAACGCGCAAAAAACCTAGCGCATGATGTAGTCATGAATCTTACCGTTCCAATTCACAATACTGCAAGAAATATCACAACGGATAATTGGTATACATCTATACCCTTAGGAAAAAGTTTGTTGCAAAAAAAATTAACACTGGTTAGTACTTTGAAAAAAAATAAGGTCGAAATTCCCAAAGAGTTCCAAGCAAACATACTGGGGAAAATGGTGTCGTATGTTCCCAAGAAAGGCAAGTGTGTGATCGTTTTTAGTAAAATGCATGATGATAGAAGCAAACTGGAAGCTGAAAATAAAAACAAGCCTGAAGAAATCGAATTCTATAATAAATCAAAGGGAGGCATAGATACATTAGATAAATTGTGTGCCACGTACACGACTCAAAGAGGGTCACGACGCTGGCCTATGGTAATTTTCTATTTTATGTTGAATGCTTGCACAATAAATGGTCAAGTAATCTTCAGAGATGTTAAACCTGATTATTTCAGAGATACTTCACATTCTAGACGATTATTTATACGTGAAATAGGTGAAGGTTTGGTGAGAGCGCAACTTCAGATAAGGTCCGGTATACCAAATTTGCAACCTTTGGTAAAGTTAAGTCTTGCGCGCTGTGGATTTGAAGTTCCCCCTAGACAAGAACAAAACCTTGATCAACCAGGACCACCAGCAAAACGCAAAAGATNGTAGCATCCTTTGATTATATATAATATGGATTGAGCCAACGAGAGAGATAGCTTGCGCAAGGTGATCGAACCGAGATAGACATAGAAGCGTACTGACATATAATGGGCGTGCGTTAATTTATAAGATAAAAAACTATCAATTAGAAGTAACATTTATAATACTTACAGGTGATGTGAAACTGTATTATCGCGAACTTTGCACACGAAACAATACATTTTTAAACATAACGGTGTGACTGGCTGTGACACAACAAAACGATAAACGTCAGGTTTGACACTTTTGTGCGCATGCGCCCGTCTGTTTAGTACCATTTTATGTCTATCTTTGTTACACTTTCACATTATCGCTTTCCATCTGCGTCTATTCACCTTGAGGTGACCTTGAGCCACATTTTTGTTAGTAGATATATTCAGTAAGCTCAATACATATTATATATAATCAAAGGTTCTAAGTGTAAAACTGCAATATGTAAAAATCATTCTTATATTATATGTTCTAATTGTCATAAATAAATTTTTTTTTATCTATAATGTAAAATAGACCTTAAACATTGTTCTTATAATTTGGTTTTCTCAAATAAAGTTTGTTCCTAAATAATAACATTCTTTACATGTGGTCATATAGACCCCGTTGTGCACTCCGTGTGACTCAAAAAGACTGTGCACTCGGAAGGTTAAAAGTGAGGTTAAAACAATAAAAGTGACGTAATTTGGGTTGCCTAATTTTTTTTCATAATTGATTTTTTAATATTATTTATTGTTTTAGTAAATATACGAGATAATCGAAATAAATTACCTGTCCATATCGCACAGTAAAANACCACGAAGTCCCCAGAAACAGCATAGCAACCGATGACCCTGATTTCATGACTAGGCAGACAGGAGTAAGTGAAAAAAGACGTTAACAATTTACTTTGTATAATATATAATTTAATATACAGTGATAAACGTTTCAAAAGTAACGGATAAATTCGATAAAGTTATTATAAACAATTTATGAAAAAATCGCGCATCAAAAAAAAGAAAAACGCAAATAGAAAATAATATATCAAAATAACATGAAAGATGGAAAACAATAATACTTTTGAAACGCTCTGTATACATAATTTTTATGTTCTATAGACCTTGCTATAAACCTTGATTAAATTCGAGTAAAATTAAAAGTGAGGTTAAAACAGGTTAAAATAATAAAAGTGACGTAATTTGGGTTGCCTATTTTTTTTTTTTTCATAATTGATTTTTTAATATTATTTATTGTTTTAGTAAATATACGAGATAATCGAAATAAATTACCTGTCCATATCGCACAGTAAAAATTGTTAACGTCTCATTTAACATTCCAGCAAAAACTCTTTGAGCCATTTTTGGAGGAACAGTTTCCCATAAATCATCCATTGTTCCTTTCATGTACAACCACCACATCTGCAGGATATAAGAACCTCTTTCTGACTCAAAAAACGGTTTTTCATTTTCCCAATCTAAACATTCCGCATCTTGCAAAATGTACAACGATAATAATCGACAATGAAGATCGAGTAACCTTTCGGCTAAAGCTTCACACATTTCTTGATAATTCTTCAAAATCGTTTGAAGTTGATCAGTTTCGTTCATTTTTGACGATACGTAACACCATAAACAATTTTTTAATAGGGATGCGGCACCAATTGTACCATTTAAAACGGATAAATCGGCATGATCAAGAGCTTCTTGCGTTAAGACGTGCAAATGAGCTAAAAAAGGTTTCTTATTTTAAGGGGAAATTTTAAAAATAAATTATTACTTAGAATTTGTTCCGATGATTTTGTAATTGCGGAAATAAATTTTTCTGGGTTAGAAGCTTTTACAATTCCCCCGCAACCACCAGCAACGTCATCCAAAATTAAATCACTCACAGGTTTCATAAAACCTGATCCTTTTCTAAAAGCAGCTAAATATTCTTCTTCCCACCAATTAACTAATTTAATTGCTGCGAATGATGAAGATGGTGGAAAATCTAATCGACCCCCGACAACACCCAAACAAAGCTTTTCTTGTAAAATTGATTGATTTTTCTAAAATAAATTGTTCAATCGACTTTATTTTTACCGAAATAATTATATTTTACCTTATAATACTCCATATCTCGTTGAATTAACACATTCACTTTATCCATAAGATTTCCATCCTCCATTAAATCCATTTTTAAATAAAATATTTAAAAAAAAATACTCCGAAAACAATAATAAAATATGTTAATTAAACTTTACTAAAAGTACATTTATTAAAATCAACTTCAGCCCCAACAATTTTAGTTATTTCCTCTTGTAATAATTGATGCAAACTGACTCCGTCGTGTTTATAAACCCAACAATTTTCTTCCGATACAAAATTGTATCTTTTCGGACCAGACGTTGGTGAACTCAGCCAAATTTGCTTGTTAGGACTTTGCCGATTAATCACATAAATCCCATAAGGCAATCCAAAATCTACGGTGAGCACCCCACTCTAAAATGTAACAAATTTATTCAAAATACTCCACAAACAAATAATTATTACACTGTAAGAAACATCAGCTTCGTTTAAATGTTTGGCATTCTCAATTAGTTCCTCAAAGTATTCCGTCAACGATTCTAAAGTTTCCTCGCAAACTTTCTCAAAATGAATCGAATCAAGCGATTCATTTTCAGTTGAGATTTTTTTTTGTAAATTTTCACATTTTAAGGTTTGATTTTTTCGATTTAACAAACTCGTAGTTGCGGTTGCTATAGGTAACCGGCACTGATTTAAATTGATTTGATGTATTTTTCGGTTTATTCTAATTAATTTGTTACGATTTATTAATAGTTGGAGTTTTAAATATTTCGTTGGGAACATTATTAAAATAAATTAATTTTTGAGGTTAAACCAGGTTAAACGTTAAACGCTAACTTCACTTCCTTCACTTTCTTAGGTTGTGTATGAAAGTTTGATTGATGTGCGCCATCTTTTATTAAATAGGGCTACTTTAAACATATAAATTTATAAAATCATAAAATCCCTTTTTATTGATTTTAATTTTATTTAAAGGATTATGTATTTTATAACGCATGCCTGAATATTGATGTTTTTGGGTTTATTTTGTCTTGTGAAAGTAATACCCCAATTCTCAATTATTGACGTGGAGGGTGATTAATTATTATTAATATTTTTTTTTTGTTGTTGTTAAAATATTCTATAAAAATTCAATGGGTTTAGATAATTATTTTCCAAAGGGTTTCACCCGGTTGATAATCATTCAAAGAGATGGGGGTCGGTTTCTGGACGTCTTTTGATGTGTTTGTGACACTTTCCAAGCGTGAAAATTACGAGAATATGGTTCGATGGGTAACCACAACACCGTAAACGGTAATTTGGGGTGAATAATGTGCATTTATAAGCTCGTAATCAATACCTACAGTAGAAGTTCAAGAATAAATCCAAATTTTTTTTTCGTTTCTTTCATTTTCGTCTTTTAGGTCAATTTATTTCGGTTTGGATGCGAGGATATTTCATTTAAAATGCCCCAAAGGGAGAATCTCGATTTTCTTTATATTTTCTAGATGTACAAGAGAAAATAAAAACTTTTTTGAAATAAATCAATTTACAACTAACCTCAAAAATTTTCATCTGTCTATTTGACACTCCTTTGAAATTAGTACTAAGAAAAAAATACGAGATGGCGCAATTAATTAATTTAAAAATAAATCATATTAAAAAAATTCTTTTCTTTTTGTCTAACTTCTTAGTATCGTGAGAATTTTAACATCCTTTCCTGGTTTCGTTGATAGAAACCGCATCTTTTTTCTTTTTCGCCCTACAAATACAACCGTCGTCGATATAAAGTTAGTTTCGCTGTCTCAAAGATTCCTCTCTCTTTGGTAAACCCAACAAAGAGTACACAAAAAGGAAAGAAAAAAGTGAAGAGACTTTATAAAACGATCGACTTCCACCTATATATAGATACATAAGAAAGAGAAAAAAGCTTTCGAAAGAAACGAGACTTTTGCCGTGAAAAATTCATAGACGTAAAATAGGCGAGAAAACCGAAATCGAATATTTTATTTATGCAAAAACGATCAGAAAAGTTCTTCCCTTGTATCTTTTCTCGTTGTATTAGGTTAGAAAGGAAACTTTGGTTACATATAGGCAAAGAGGACTTAAATCAGTTTATAACGTCGCTGTAATGGTTCAGGTACGAAATTAATTTTCGAAGAACTGAGAGGGTCTCAAGAGGAACAAAGCTTTTACCGGAAGACGGGAAGATAACTTTGAATATGAAACGATCTTAAAACTATTATGTTAGGATATGTAGTAAAAGGTTAAGTTTATAGAGATTGTGTCAATTTCATTGTAACAAAGAAAGTTAACTTATTATTTAAAATATTTAACGGTTCAATTTACAAAATCAATTTTGTGTTAATCCGATTTAAATCCTCTTAAATTAAAACATCCACGATGTTTTGTTCGTCGTAGAAGCGGATTTAAGTTTAGTTTGGGAAATTCGTTAAAAGTTTAAACTCATAAATCGATTCGATATTATTATTTAAGATTTAAAAAGTTATTAAATCTAATCTTTTAACTAAATATGATTTTTTTGAGTGATTGATAAATAAGAATTCGATTTTAAATTTAACTTGTAGCGATTACCAAACGTTTTAACGGTTTATTTATCACGCTTGAACTTTGTTGCGTGTTCGAATTGTTTTTAGATAACGACGTACGATCCAGTTTGTTTTCGAACGCACACCTGTGCCGAATTTCGGTTTTAATTTCATTTCTAAAATAAATAAATCGAAATAATGGTTCAAATTGAAGGCACTTATGAAATCGTTAAAAACGAGAATTTTCAACAATATCTCAAATCTCTAGGTAGATTTCTTTATTTATTAATTAATTCATTAATTAATTCAATTTAATTCGTTTTAGGTACTGAAATGACTGAGGATATGGTTCAGCGTTTAAACGCCTCCAGATCAACGATTCAAGTAAAATTAGATGGAAATAAATGTAGCTTTATCACCAGCTCGCACGACGGAACGTTTACAACTTTATCCTTTGAATTTGGAATCAGTTTCGTAGACGAACTTAGCCCTATTTTAAAACTAAAGGTATTACTTTTTTTAAACATCTTAAAATTCCCGCTGTTGTTTGCGCCATCTCTTTTTACCCCACTTAATGTTTTCAATGTCAAACTGACGTTTAACTATCAATTTAATTATAATTAATATTTTATTGTTATTAATTAAATAGACCACCCCGACTTTTGATGGAGCAACAATCGTTAATTTAAAATCGGAAACTGAAGATGGAAGAGGAGGAAATAGGAAATATGAATTTTCAAACGATGGATTAATAATTGTAAGTTCAATAATAACGAAATAAATTCATAATCTTATTGAAACCTTTAATAATTTTAGTATTATTCCACTAATGGATCGAACGAAACCGCAAGAAGAATATATAAAAGGATTTAAACGTCGACGTGATGAAATTTATTTTTGAAATTTTTAGGTTATATAAACGTCAAATTTAATACTTTTAAGAAAACTGTACAAGGTGACAAAAATGCGTTAAATTTAAAAATGTAAATATACATTTTTAAATTTAACGCATTTTTACTAATCGTACTACTATTTAAAATAAATTGATTTTATAAAATTATTAATTTATTTGTCATAATAAAAATAACCTTATCTGTCATATTCTTTTTTAGATTTTTTTTTGTTCTAATGAGTTCAACTCGATAGTTCTTATAAGGTAGTCGTAAAATAGAGCTTTTGGACTTCAATTTAAGATATAAAACGTTGCTTAATACCTTGATTATAAATTAATATTGCGATATAACATTCTATGTCATACTTTCGCTGTTATAGTATATACAGGGTTTTCCAATAAGAGGTGTTATTTTGATATTCAAAGAACAATGCCATTTTTTAGTATAAATGATCGGATGTTTATTTCATTATAAAGAAGAAGGTATGCCGTTAATATTGGAAAATAATATTAGGCAAATGACCACCACGACCACGCTTACAGGACAATATCCTTTCCATGAAATTTTCCATAACCAAATTGCAAAGTGGCTGCCCTATGTCGTCAATAGTCTCACGAATTCCATCTTTGAGGTCTTGAATCGACGCTGGGCTGTTGGCGTACAGCTTCTCTTTCACGTGGCCCCAAAGGAAGAAGTCGCAAGGTGTTAAATCACAAGATCTCGGTGGCCAATTGTGATCACCTCTTCGAGAGATAACACGGTCCGGAAACTTTTCCCATAAAAGATCAATGGTTTCGTTGCTTGTGTGGCCACTTGTTGTCCACATCAATACCATCCAATTCCGGCCATAAAAAATCATTAATCATCTCTCGATAGCGCAATCCATTCACCGTAACTGTTGCTCCAGCCTCATTTTCGAAAAAGTAAGGTCCAATGACTCCGCCGGACCATAAACCGCACCAAACAGTCACACGTTGAGGATAGAGAGGCTTTTCAACAATAACTCTTGGGTTTTCCGAGCCCCAGATGCGATAATTTTGCTTGTTGACGAAGCCACCGAGGTGGAAATGGGCCTCATCACTCAAGATGATTTTTCGATGGAATTCCGGATCATTTTCATGCATTTCAACGACCCAATCAGCAAAGACACGACGTTGTTGATGATCGGACGGCTTGAGTGCTTGTGTTAACTGAAGTTTATAAGCCTTAAGACTCAAATCTTTATGCAAAATACGGTGTAATGACGTTTGTGGAATGCCTAATTCCAAAGAACGACGAGGAATGGACAAACCTGGGTTTTCTTCAACACTTTCGGCTACAGCAGCAATATTCTCGGCTGTTCTTGAGCGACGTGCAAGGGTTTTATTCTTCACATCACTAACTTGTCCCAACAGCTCGAATTTTTCCACCAATTTCTGTATTGCGGTCCGACAAGGTGCTTCACGACGACCCAAAAATGTTCGAGTTTTACGAACCGTCTCTGCCAAAATGTCACCATATTTATAGTGAATTTTAATAATTTCAATGCGTTGTTGAAGCGTGTATCGTTCCATTTTTATTAATGGCGTACTTTCTACCTGTCAAATGTCAAAAAATGACAGCTTCAAAAGTGACATCTACCGAAATAACGGGCTATTCAAAATAACACCTCTTATTGGAAAACCCTTTACATAAATAGAATAGGGTTATAATTAGGGCGAATCTGATTATACATACTTACATAATTAATGGTTTTATTATAAAAAATTTTTATTCAAAACATTTTCCTCCGTCGCTTTGAGTTTTTCAGTTATGATCAGCTATAATGACGAAAATGTTTGTTTTTAATATCAAAACGATTTCCACTTCATAACGAAAATATTGTTCTAGTTAAGATAAATCTGATTATGGATAATGGATTGTCGGTTCATTATACAATTTATGTTTACAATATTTTCCTCCTTCGCTTTTAGTATTTCAGTTATTGGCAACTTTAATAGCAAAAATGTAAAATTTTGGTTTTACGGGGAATTTCACTTTATAAGTAGAGTATGGTTATACCTCAAGGTTTATATATTAAAGGTTGTCTAAGTTCCTATGCTACAATACTTTGATTTTAGTTTGTGGGCGAGGGGCAAGAGCAGGAGTGTTTCGTGACGTAAGCGATCACGGATTGCGCACGCAACCTCATGGCCATGTGGTGCTCCATGCCTTCGTTTAATTTGAATTGCTTGGCGGTATTATTTTCCACATGTGACGTAATGCGCAGTATGATTGCGTACGAACCTAGACAACCTCTTATACAGGTTGTATCTGAATGACTGCAACAAACTTCAAGGGGTGATTCTTTAGTGAATTTTAAGGGTACTTTGATATATGAACCATGGGTGACTTCGGCTCCCCTAAGGAGCTACACCGCTCCAAAAATGGCGGAAAATTTTGATTTATTTTTTTTTTCTCAAAAACCATAAACACTAGGAAAATGAAATTTGGGAAATATGTTTAACTCATAGTAGGGCACGTTTTGACCCTATTTGTACTTTCAACCTACCCTTCTAAACTACTAAACATAACCACCCCCATTCAATTTATGCCTATATTTTTTTTATGCAGATGATAAATACATTAAAAAAAATTTATCTAGGTAGATGAAAGTATCCTAAAACTTTTTTGTCTCTCTAAAATTTTTCCAAAAACGACTAATTTTTGAGAAAAAAAATAATAAAGCAAACACTGCACGTTAAACATTGGGGTTGTCGATCAAAAGTTGGAATGAATTTTTAATGAAAAAATCTTAGTAGGCTTTGCAATCTTTGTCAGAAATTTTTTTGACGTTTAAATGTCAGTGGTTTTCTTATTATTATTATTATTTTATTTAAAATTTTGAGCGTAAATGCGATAGAACTTTATTCAAAAATAATAGTAAGAAAAACATTGACATTTAAACGTCAAAAATATTTCTGATAAAGATTGGAAAGCCCACTAAGATTTTTTCAATAAAAATTCATTCCAACTTTTGATCGACAACCCCGTTGTTAACGGGCAGTGTTTGCTTTATTATTTTTTTTCTCAAAAATTAGTCGTTTTTGGAAAAATTTTAGAGAGACAAAAAAGTTTTAGGATACTTTCATCTACCTATGTAATTTTTTTTTAATGTATTTATCATCTGCATAAAAAAGTCTAGGCATAAATTGAACGGGGGTGGTTACGTTTAGTAGTTTAGAAGGGTAGGTTGAAAGTACAAATAGGGTCAAAACGTGCCCTATTATGAGTTAAACATATTCCCCAAATTTCATTTTCCTAGCGTTTATGGTTTTTGAGAAAAAAAAATTAAACCAAAATTTTCCGCCATTTTTGGAGGGGTGTAGCTCCTTAGGGGAGCCGAAGTCGCCCATGATTCATATATCAAAGTACCCTTAAAATTCACTAAAGAATCACCCCTTGAAGTTTGTTGCAGTCATTCAGATACACCCTGTATATAAACCTTGGTTATACCTAAGATAATTCTGATTATGGATTGTTGGTTCATTATAAATAATTTTTGTTTAAAATATTTTCCTCTGCCGCTTTCAGTTTTTCAGTTATGGTTAGCTTTAATAGCGAAAATGTAAAATTTTGGTTTTACGAGGATTTTCACTTTAGTATAACTAGAATACGGTTATAACTCTTGGTTATAACTAAAATAAATCAAACTATAATGTATTTTTGATTCATTATAAACAATTTTTGTTTAAAATATTTTCTTTCCTCGCTTTTAGTTTTCCATTTATTGACAGCTTTAATAACGAAAATGTAAAATTTTGGTTTTGTGGGGATTTTTACTTTATAACTAGAATACGGTTAGAACTGAAATGATTCTAACCATAGCTAATGCATTTTTGGTGCATTTTAAACAATTTTTGTTAAAATATTTTCTTCCGTCGCTTTTAGTTTTTCAGTTATGATCTGTTTTAACAATAAAAATGTGTAATTTTGATTTCACTTCCTAACCACAATACGGTTGTAACTAGAATGAATCAAACTACAAATAATGTATTTTCGAGTCCTTACATTACAAACATTTTTTGTACGCGACATCGCTTTTACTTTTTCAGTTATCCCGTAATGAAAAATAAAACATTATTTTTTTTAAATTTTTATTACTCGAAAAATCATTTTTTTTAATTAAACTCTTTTGTAAATACGTTTAGCAACAACGGATCCTTTGTAAGTGATCGTAAGTCCATCGGAGGTGAAATCATAAGTTCTGGAACCGTCCAATCCAACTTCAGCACAGCTAGTTTTAACATCGATGGTGTTTCCATTTAAAGTTGCTGTACTCTGTGGAACAAAAAAAAATTGGTTACAATTATAGTTGGAATTATAAAATTGACGGAATAATTACTTTGGCAATGTGTTCAGTTGGAAGGGGATCATCGCATTCTTGTCCAATGATAAAAGTAGTGGTTGTATTTTTAACTCCGGAATCGCTAACTAACTCAATTTTATCGCCAGATACGTTTACGGTAAGATGAGGACGAAGTTTATCGGCGTATTGAGCGTTATCAGCTGGGACACCTAAAGATGTCAAAAAAGCAACGAAATTTTCGTTGTTTTCCAACTTGTATTTTCCAGGGATTAAAGCCATTTTTAATCACTTATTTAACCGATTCGTTAAAACAAACCAAGTAAACTAAAGTTTAATCGATTAGAATCTGATTTATATATAAATCAGAGTTATCTAAAAGTATCGATTTCTATCAATTTTTTTTTGAATGACTTTGTTAAGAATCGTTACTTAATTAATCGATTCTATCTATTACAAAGTTTTTTTCTTTGTTACAAAATTGAATAAACACTCGATGGAAACGGTGGTGATACTTGACCTTGATTGATTTCGAAAAGGACTCGATTCAAATTAGACTTTTAGGCGTGATCTTTAATAGAAATCGGCGTAAAATAATTTTTTTTATTTTTAAATTTTAAGGGGGCTTTTAGTGATAAAATTTTAAAACGAAATTAATCGAAATTGAAATTGATTGAAATTAATTGAAACGAAATTTTTCGAATGAATCGATTTTCCAACTAATACACTTTATACTTATTGTATCTTATCGAATAAATAGCATCCAAACAACCTAATTTATTCAAAAGACCATTTAATTAACACGATTAGAAAATGAAAACGTTATTATCGTTTCTATTTCCACTTTCATTTTGAACTTATTACCAAACGAATATGTCGTATTGTGGGAAACGTTTTTATTCGAAAATTACTGATATATTTTCAGCAATACATCCAATTTATTTAACAACGCATTTTTTAGGACTTTCAAGTTATAAAGTATCCGAAATTAACAACAAAAAATGTTACAAATCGACGATTTTAATGTCGATAAAAGCGTTTATCCAATTTGGATTCTTAATCGCTTTCGTTAGTTACAATTTAACGTTTCAAGAAACTCCGAAAGACTCCAATTCAATCGCAGATAACATCACTTATTATCAAGATATAATGACTTGTACCTTATCGGTTGCGAACGTCGGATTTGGATTGATTTTTACCAAGAAGATGTGTAAGATTATTAATCGTTTACACGAAATTGATTTGGAATTTGAAAGTTTAGGAGTTCAAAGGGATTATAGAAAAACTTATTTGAAATGTTTCTTAAGTACGTTGATGGCGTTTTTTTCAATTGTTGGATATTTAGGTTTTATGGTTTACATAGCCAAAGATGTTTCGGGTATTTTCTTTTTTACATGTCTCTCCAATTATTATCCGTACTTTTTAAACATCGTCGTTGAACTACAATACGCCAATTATGCGACTATAATCGGCGATAAGTATAAAATTTTAAATAATTATTTAGAGGAGTTATTTCAAAATGTTCACGGAGGTATTTAATTTTCAATTATTTATTAAACTTTTTAATCCGATTTTCCATCGGAAACACATTTCGATATATTCATTTTACATTCAATTTAATTCTACTTACATCAATTTATAAACATTTCTTTAAAATAACCATTTTCAGTTTGACAATTAAACGTCAAAACCACACAACCTGATTTTTTTAAATTTCTTTTAAATTTTTCTATTTAAACTTTCAAAATTCGATTAATTAATATATCGAAACACGTTTCGATGTATTCATTTTAATTCAATTTAATCTTACTTATATTAATTTATAAACATTTATTTTAAAATAACGATTTTCAATTTGACAGTTAAACGTCAAAACCACATAACCAGACTTTTTTTTATTTTTCTTTTAATAAAGTAATTTAAATTTATTTTAATTTTCTATCAAAACGATTTTAATTCATTCATTTTATTATTAACTTTTAATTTAGTTATAATTTTAAATTGATTTTTAAATATTGATAATAAAAATTCTTGTACATTGAGTTGCATACACACAAATTTTTTAACATTTCAGCTTGGTTTATAGAAAGCTATAAAACTCCGTCAAAAATTCAAAAACCTTCAAAATCCGATTCGGATCAATCATCTTGGATCGATACGGTGGCGAGATTTCATATAAAATTAGCGAACGCAGCCACATTTCTAAATCATGCTTTCCGAGTACAATTATTGTTGTTAATTAGCACTTCTTTCGTTGGAATTGTGAGCTCCTTATTTTTGATTGCAATTAATTTCAAAGATTCTGAAGATGAGGATGAAAATACAAAGAATTGGAATTATATGTTTACAACTTGGGCGTTTACCAACGCTTTAGCTTTGGTTGTTATTGTCCACACGACTTCTAGAATTTGCGATGAAGCGAACCGTTGCCCAAAAATATTACATGCTATTCGAAATAAAACAGCAGATTCAAAGTTACACGAAACAGTAAGATTAAATAATTCTTAAAAAAATATTTTTTTAATTATTTTGTTTTAGATCGAAATGTATTCGTTGCAAATGTACCATAATCGATTACAATTTGATGTTTGTGGATTATTTTCTTTAGATTACACCTTATTATACACGGTGAGTAATTGTAGTGATTAAACGCGAAATAATTTCAAGTTATTTTTTAGATAGTAGCAAGTGTAACGACTCATTTGGTTATTTTAATTCAATTTAACAGTGGCCAACATCAATCAGTGTCGAAAACAAGCACTAATAACAATAGCCTACAACAAACCTAAACAAAATAAACTTAAATAAAGTTATAAAGTAGTTAAAAAGTTAAAATGGAAGTAATTTAAGATTAAGATTAATCGTATTCTCGTAATGAACGGTAATTTATTTTTGTTAAAAGTTAAATTCACTTATTTTAACTTTTAATAAGTAGTTGTTATTTGTAGTCGGGTTTAAATTTCGAATATTAATGCGAAAGTTTGGAAACTGTTCAAAAATAAAACTCTCTTTTTTAGTTAAAAACGCGTCAATTTCAATTCAAAATCCAATTTAGGAGTTAATTGAGTTTTAAAAATTCAATCTGCTCCCTGTAGGTGTCCAAGCATTTTTTATCTATTCCCATTTTTTCATCTCGTTTTACTTCAAAAAACTATCATACACATTAACTTAAATAAAAGTTTTCGATCGTTATTTAAAAAGCAATTTTATCATCGACGAAATAAAAAGTTTCAAACTCAAAATTTAAATCAATTTTTTTATGATTTTTAGAGTGTTTATACAAAAATAACAAGTCTCTACCATCTAGTGTTACCTCGGGTTAACTTAGTTGAAGAATGTGTCATATTGCGTCATTACGCCGAGATTGCTTGCGGTTAAGGTGTTACAATTAATACCAAATCGTGATTGTGATATCAATCAACGATTTACCGAACTCGTACCAACTCTAGCGTCTCGCCCGCAAATAACCTCGGCTTAATTTAAAATAGAACCGAGGTTGCGCTAGAGTATGCGTAGTTCAAGCGACCTCGGCATAACCTAGAATAAACATTTTTTTGTAATTCGCGACGGTAATGAAAGTTCTAACAGTACTCAAACGGGTGCTGTAATGAGACTCCTTACAGCATCCGATGCTGTAATGAGATTTTAGTAACATTTTATGGAGCCAGTTCAAGTTGGTGACATTGCGTCATTAATTTTTCTAGTTGTCAATGTGACAATTTTTGTCTATGGATGTTTAAACACGTTCTTAGCATCGAATACAAGGTCCACAATGATGAGGACATTGAACACTGAGCAATTTCTCTTATTTTGGGAGGTGTACATGAAACATTTTTTTCAGGTGAATACATTTTGTGTTTTGACAGTTTCTAATTGTCAATTCAAATTTCTATTTTCAAGTGTTACGGTGTTACCAACTGCTGCATACCTATTTCCCTACATTGTCAAAATTTATTTTATTTTTGTTAAAAAAAAGGGATAAAAACGCGAATTACAAAAAATAGCATAAAAAACACGTTTCATAAGACTTAAAGCACTCATTCATTAAAAAACTCGTGGCTTTTCTCGTTTTTCAACTTGAATTCGTGCATTTCAAGCGTGTCTTACGAAACTTGTTTTTTAATATACTATTACATCGCCTGATTAAGCTTATTAGGGTGACGAGAGGGGCCTGTTCCCTCAGCCCAATAACAATAATAGTAATAATAAGCCGGGGTCGCTTGTGGCCGAGTCGTCACAGTTCGTATCACTTTCTTGGAAGATTAAACTACTAATTTTGTAGAGAATATTCATGCCCGTTTGCACCGTAATACATAAGCATTGCTTAAAGGCTAAGTAATGCTTAAGTAGTGAATTTGCGTTGCACCGTCAAGTAACCCGTTCTCAAAATCAATAAGACGTTCTCAAATATAAGTATTTGAAATCCAGTGCTTAAGTTGTTCTCAAGCGCATACGTCAAATAGACATAACCGCACATAACCTATACGTTAAAAAAGTAATAAAATAAAATAATGGATCTGCAAATTTTCGACGACGATTTAGATGTTTTGGAAATAATTGATTTTGGTTTTCCAAAATTAATATACACAAGATCCAATTATTTCCACGAAATGGACGAATATAATTTTTTTAAAAGATTTCGTCTAACAAAACAAAGTTGTTTGTATGTTCTACGACAAATACAAGAAATTATAGAATTTCCGTCTAATAAGTAAGTAGTATACATTATTTTAAATTATACTTTTATAGGCTGAATTTAGATTATTTTAATACTACTTGTTTTGTACAGAAACAACTGTGTGTCTCCAATGAACCAGTTGCTAACAACCCTTAGATTTTACGCTTCTGCTAGCCATTTAACTATTGTAGCTGATTTTACCGGGATGCATACTTCAACAGCTAGTAGAATTATATCGCGGGTATCGCGTGCAATTGCTATGCTGAGACCGCAATACATAAAAATGCCAAGTAATACCGAAGAAATTCTAGCAGTACAAAACCAGTTTTATGGAATAGCTGCATTTCCCAGGATTATAGGTGCCATTGATTGCACGCACATAAAAATTCAGTCTCCTGGTGGCGAAGATGCAGAAGTGTACAGGAACCGAAAAGGCTACTTTTCTTTTAATGTACAAGTTATTGTAAATGCAAATTTGGAAGCCATGGATATTGTGGCAAGGTGGCCAGGATCTGTTCACGATTCAACTATATTTAATAATAGTCGGATTAGAGCACGGTTAGAAAACGGAGATTTCCAAAATGGCATATTATTAGGTATGATGTTACTGATACTTAACGTAAAATAGTACATATTACTATTTGATTACAAATGATTAATGATAAGGTTCTTTTAGGCGACAGCGGATATCCTCTGCGAGAGTATTTTCTAACTCCATTGGCAGAGTATAATTGAGCAGAGTGTAATTTGTAAATTTGAAGTGCGTTTTATCTTTCTCCAAAATATGTTTATGTAAATGAAATTTCTAAATATTAATTTATCTTTAAAAGGTTCACCTCTTGCGACATTTTTTATAAACGTCCTTATAACTCACAATATAACTCAACACTCTTCGAATAGCTTCGTCAACAAGCAA